ACCATACCGCGTCGCCTCGCCCTCCGTGCACGAAGTCACCGAGTAGGTGATGTCACAGAAGATCTGAAAGGGTATTTAAAATATAGATACACATATTTTCTTATAAATATATCGTGTACAATTACCCTATCGTAGCAGAGCAGAGTAGCGAAGTTCGATGTCTTGAGGTTGTGTATGGCGTGCACAAACTTGGCGCAATACAGCGCATCCAAGGCTGTGAAAGTGCAGCGCGGGAAGAGGCAGAGCTGCAGGAACTGCGTGATGGTGTCGTTCTTGGCCGACTTGGCCGAGCGTAGGAGGAACCAACTATCCTTTTGCTCCTGCAGCCGCTGCGAGATCTTGTCCACATGCTCGTGCTGTTTCTTGCGCTCGTCGTTCAGCTTCTCCATCAACGCAATGTAGCGCTCCTGCTCCTTTTTGTTCTTCGACTGATTGGAGTCCTTGCCCTCGGCCGCCTGCTGAGCCAGCTGCTTTAGCTTGCCAATCTCACGCTGATAGCTATCGTTGGGCACATGCAAATCGTACATGCTGAGGCTCCAGAATGTCACCAGGAACTGCGGACTGATGTCCTCCCACACCTTGGCGCTGTGCAGTGGGCGAACGGATTCCACAATCGGGTTCATGATCAACTGCGTGGCCTCTAGATACTTTTGCAGTTTTTGCGTTGTGGTCAGCTTCTTGGCATTCGGATCAGCCTTGCGCAATTGGTCATATTTTTGCTGTAAAAGGGATTAGCTTTAGCTTAAAACTGGGTACAAAAATCTTGTTCAATGTAGAGACTTACATTGATTTGGTGAGTGAACATGGGCCTGGCCAGAAAGAAGGCCACATCTGTGTTGATGTGATATTCCCGCAGCATGGTTATGATGGAGGGCAGGCGCTCTACATACTCATCCACCGAATAGGTGGATCCCAGGAAGGTACCAAACTGGACGAGCGTGTCCTGGCATTGATCGTACAGATGTCCCACCAACTTCAAATGACTGTGAGCCGCCGTCTCGCGATAGATGACACAGTGCTTCTGTTGAGCCATCAGCAGGCAAATAGCCACTGCGAGATCGTTGTTGGCCAATGCCTCCTTCAGACGATTAGAAGACTTTTTCGTATTCCTCACTTGACTAAAGTAGCCAGCCTAGAAAGATAATAGGTTATGAGTAATTGGGGCTAACCATATATAAAACAGAGTTCAATAACTACCTCTCCCCTGAGCTGTTCACCACCGCACATGGCTTGCAGCTGATCGTTTGTCATTTCCTCGCATGACTCTACGCCTGCCATCTTATGCACAATCTCTCGCAGGATCAGTAGATCCAGGCTTTTCTGTGACTTCAGCTGATTGGCCACATATTGCAGCAAACCGCTCAGCTCAATGCTGTACTTCTTGTAGATGGTGCCGCAGAAAGAGGCCAGACTTTGCAGCCACAAGGATAAAGAGGTGCCATCATCCTTGAACCTGAGACGACCCGTCAACGTCAGCGACTCAATGATGCAGTATCCCAGACAATCAAAAGACAGGGCAGTAAGATACTTGAGCATGTCGCAGACGGGACCAATGAGATTGTCATAGATTTGGATTTGCAAGAGAATCTATTGAACAGAATGGTAAGTAATTAATTAACCAACAACAGTAGCTTAAACTCACATAGTCGAACAGCAGTCCTGGAGCACAGTGGCTGTACTTGCCCACTAGACGACCCAATTGCTTGACATTCTCCTTGCTCACTCGCTTCATCAGCGCCTTGATGTCCCGCTGAGCTAGGCCACATCGCCTGATCAAGTTCGGATGCAGCTGGTAGCTATCGTTCTTCCAACGCGCATACAAACTGTAGCGAAAGTGGTACGGGAAGTACTTGAGCACAGCCCAAATCTCCTCGGACATGGAGCAGTTGTTGTCCAGGTAGAGAAGCGAGGGTAAAATGCAAGCATCCAGCGAGCTCATAATGTCATAGTAGTGATGCTCCGCCTCCGAATTTGGCGGGGGACCATTCAAACTGTCCACGCCCATCTCCACCACAAGTTTTCGCATAATGCGAATAAGCTTGTACATCAGCACAGTGTCGTAGTGCATGGCAGGTCCCAAGACATTAGCCATCGGCCAGGTGTACTTCCTCAGATCGCTGAATTCCTTTGCCTGCATCTTGGCCACCAGCTTTGAGTCGTCGTACAAGCGATTCCGGCTCTGCCTTCGTCCAGCGGGTGCCTTGAAGCATTTCTTATAGTAAACATTCTCCACGGACAGATGTATCAGATCGGCAATGGCACGGGCGATGGGCTCCTGCAGAACTACCGCCTGTTCGGGAAGCTTCTGGATAATCTTGTAGGCATTCCCCCAGTCACCCACTTTGAGTAAAGCCTCGCAGAGACCAAACTTTTGATTGACATTATACTTTTCCTGCAGCAGAAGATCTATATTAACAATATTAACATTATATTATGGAAAAACTTTACCTCGTTGAACTTCTTAACAGAAGGCGGTGGTGGTAAATCCTTTTCTTCCTCCTTTTTGTTGGTTTGAATGAGGTTCAGCTTGCGCACCATTTCTCTGGCATCCGCCAACTCTTCCTCCCAATCCGCCTTGATGCTCCCATCGTTTGGGGTCAGCCAGACATATACATCGTTCAGCGCAATGACGCCGTGCTTCAGCAAAAGGGCACAAACATGATATAAAGAGCGGGGCGTGCGGGAGTCCTTAAAGTGGCAGAACTTATAGCCAAGGACCTCGCATATTATGGCACCAGTTGGCATATAGCTTCGCAGCAGGGGAATGAACAGGTTCCAGCGGTCGGGGCGAGTTTCGAAGGACTCGATAATAATGTCCAGCACTCGGTTGGGATCCAGATTAAAGCAGCCTACGCAAAAGATTAATTTTTGTATTTTAGTTTGTATTGTAATTTTTAGTTTTACGACCTATTAAAAAACGTTACCTATTAGGGATTTAATGATGTCCATTATGCTTTCAGGAGTGGTGTTCTCTTCAAATTCCTGATTCAGCTCTGTTATAAGCTTGGCAAATCCCTCGCTTTCCTCGCGGAAAAGATTAAAACGACGCTGCTTGTAGCTAAAATTATGATGGGCAAATGATAACATTTATCAAACTTAAATTGCCGTTTGAATACATACTATAATTTGGTTTTGACCTTGATGAACTTGGAGTAGAAGCTTTTGTTTTTGACAATGCCAACCTCCTGCAACGTGTCAATCTCCAATCGCTCCTTCAGTAGACTTTCTGGAACCACCTTGTCAATGTCCTTGACCAGTTGCACGAAGGCATGACGCTCCTCTTGTAATCCTTCGGTCATAAGCGAGGTTTCGTTGTCCAGGATATTGATCACATCCAATATGAGGCTGGGAAACTCTGCGTGAAGGGCCTGAAAAAATAGTGATATAGTTTAATAATTTTGTTTAACTTTTAATTATCTTCTAAAGATCTTATCAAGCGAGTATTGCCTTTTGTTAAGGGTTTATTTTTGAGGATTCACCAAATGCAGTTTCCTTTCAGTCTCAGTATAGAGAAAATCGTATCGAGGGAAGCCCTATAAAGGATTCCCCAAAATTCCCGGAACTTTTTCACTCACCACGACTTCCATGAGCAGATGGAGCACCAGATCCTTTTTGTGGGTGAATCGCAGGGCCTGCCAGAGCAGCTCGTAGATGGCATTGGAGACGCCCTGTTTGAAGACGCCATTCCGGTCGTAGACGGGATTGTCGGCCGTATCCTGGAGCTGCTGCTTGAGGTACTTTAGGCTAGAAGTAAACGTGATATTTAGCGAGGGGAAACGAACGAACGAGCAGCACAGTGGTTCCAAACAGTAGACACAGGAGCGCGCGTGCGAATTGAATATTCGCAGCTGGACACAAACTTCTGGCAGTCACTGTACATGTTGCGACTGTGTGTGTGTATATCTCTGGCTGCGTTTGTATCGGTGTCTAAGAGAGATAGAGAGAGAGCGTGGAACCACACGTACAATTCGCTCCGTCCGGATTTATCAAAGTGCTTGAAGATCTCCGGATTGAGGGATCCACTGCTGGCGGCGGCTCCTCCGTTTGTATCCGTGGATTCCGATGTCCGGGTTTCCGCAGTCGCCGTTGCCGCTGCCACAGCTCCACCGTCGCCGCCATCCTGCGTCCCCGTAACGCTCTTCAGCTTTTTGAGGCGCCGCACCCGGTCGGTGGATTTCTGCATCTCCGGATTAGGTGGAACACGCGGGCGTTTTGCTACGGGTGCAATCTCTGCGCCCAAATCGATCAGATAGCTGTACTTTACGAAATATTTGACAAATTTTCACACTTTGATGTTGAAGCAGTGCCACCAGTGTGACCGTATCGCCTACCGTATTAAATGACAGGCGGCAAAACGAAAGTGCCTTTTTCGGATGTCCTTATTTTAGGAACGAATAAAATGAAACATTAATAAATAAATGTTTTTATGTTTTTTATTCACAGGTTTCTTCGATTTGAGGTACTTCACTTGTAGCTGTATTAATTTTATCATATATACGTTTTTGTTTTATTTATGCAATAAAAAGTAAGTACAGGAGTAAAATATTTTTTAATCTAATTGTTATTCCACAATCTGAAATTTTTTTAACTATTTAATTTAACATTATTTTTAATAATATTAAAGTTATTTTGTTCGCTAAACCCAGCGCAATTTATAATTTTACTTGCAAAAATTTGTCAAAACTTTAAAAACTCAAAAAAGATTTTGAAACATATGGAACTGAAATCAAATCAAAATGACATACCTGTATCGGAATCACTATGCACATATTAAGCAAAATAGTTTTTAGTATTTCACAGATGAATTTAAAAAACTATTAAATTCCTTTTCTAAATAAAATCTGAACTGCGTTTCATCCCGCAGGTTTCTCGGAAATCTCAAATCTCAGGCAGCGTTTTATGTTATTGGACCCTCTTTGTATGCGCATATAATTACGAATCTTTTAAAATGCAATCTGAAATCAATCAAAATTCATTGTATTTACAAATGTATATTAGCATTTCTTCAAACAAATGATTTATTAAAATGGTACCAAAACGATAGGACTGTTGAAACCATATTAAATATCCTCTAAAATATGTGTATTAACTATCTAGTTTTTACATAAATATTTTCTATTCGCCAGCATCCTTCAGATTTTTCGATGTTTATTTCTTCCTATTTTTAATAAAATTAACTTAAATTATAAAATTGTTTATTGTTTTACCTTTAACAGTTGCAAATTATTTTCAAACTCCTATTAAAATGGCAAAATTTTAGGCAATGCGTAAATGGAAATTAGTCTAATACAATGCGTCTTTCTTATGACATACAAACATATTTGTTGAATTAATAACTTCAATATATATTTAAGAAGTACTGTTCATACAAATCCAGAAATAATATTTGTGTAGTTTTCTTTAGAAAACTGAATGTAAAATCGTAAGATAATTTGGGTGATTGCTAATTGGTAGAATGCTGGAATTGCGATCTTTAGATCAAGGCTTCGTTCTCGATCTTGACATCGCACTCGATCATGGAGCTGTCCACATAATCGTAGGAGGATGGGGATTGTGGGCTACCATTTAGGTAACTGGAATTTGAGATACAGTAGGGCTGGCAATTATCCAGTTGAGAGGTGAAACTTGAGTCGGGAGCGGGCGTTAGTCTTGGCAATCCCACGGCTCCAGCTCCAGCGGCCATTCCCTGGGGCGCCTGCTGATCCTCCTTCCGAAGTTCCACCAAAATCCGGGCCATCTCCATGCGAAACTTGAGGTTTCCAATGGGCGACAAGGTCTTGACGTGCGGCACCATGCTCACCATGAAGCTGTAGTCTGAATCGTTTTTCAAATCCGCTTCGGCAGGATGATTTGATGTGGCCTTGCCGTTGGAACTGGACACATCGTACAAAGATGAGGGCTTTCGGCGACGAACCCTCTTCGTAGGCGGCTTGAGATGCAGGTGCATGGGTGGGCAGGATATCAATCTGGGCGACGGTTCATGGTCGGACAGATGGGCAGTGGATGAGTCCAGTGGCTTGATCAGGGAGCCACCATCCGATCCCGAATCCTGTGGCAACGAGGATTCCCTCTTAAATATATCCCCAATGATCTCAAAGTCAACGGAGTCATCATCGTCCAGATCCACATCGATGGCAAAGTCCACCAGTCGGGTGGTGGTGTCGCAGTCATCCTCCGGCTGTTCGGCATCCAAATCGTAGGCCTCCGGAGGAAATGGCACCAGACGTTCCGGATCGAAGATGTGGCGCATAAACTCCAGGGAACGGAAGTATGTCCAGTGGGACATTTCCATTCGTTTCTGTTGGATTTTGCGTATCTCGGCGCGATAGCTGTCCCTTAAGCCCTTAAAACGCTTCTTGCAGGTGACAACTGGGGAAAGTACCAGAAAGTACCAGAAAGTACCAGGGAAAACCAGGTGATATTTATAACTTGCCTGGGCAGATAAACGCAAACACACTCACCATCCTGCTGCAAAATCTCCGCCACAATTGCCCACTGGGCTGCTCCGTCCTCCTTGCGATACGCCATGGACATGTTGGTGTCCCAAAGACATCGCCTTTTGGCCACCTCCGCTATGAGACGAAAATTATCTGATTTCATGGCTTTGCAGCAGCAATCGTGGCTTGCCACAAAAGGCTCTTGTTGTTTTGCGATTTCTGATGCGAACTTTCACCACTCACCGCGCCCACACAAACTAGGCGATTGTGTGAGCGGTTAAACAATTAATATTGAAACCGGAGCCAAAAAACGTGACTTGCTTCGGCCCTTTTGCTTCCGAGAAAATGGAAAGGAAAATAATTTCCGTTTGTGCTGCAAACTCGCAGCTTCGCCTTGCTATTCTGCCCTACGCCTGGCAACTCTGGACGAACAGCTGTTTTGCGGTATTAAGGTATGGACGACGAACGGTCACACCAATACGGTGGCAACTCTGCCAGCGAAACAAATGATTCACAAAATAATCGTTGATTTTTTGCCGGCTGTTGTTTTGAAACCCAAATAGATAGCGAAACAGCCATGTCGAATCCTGTGGAGGAGTGCAAGGATGAGGACCTGCCCGCAAATACGCTGGAGCATTTCACCGAACTGCAGCAGGTGCTCGAAATGATCGAGAACATCAAACCAATTGGGGCTGCAACCTTTGAAAGGGAATTCGAGCAATACGCTCAGATTTTGTCCAGATATCAGGAGCAACCGCATCTGCTGGATCCACATTTGGAGGAGTTGCTGGGCCAACTGCTGCAGAAGATCAGGCGCCAGGATTTGGACACCGGAGAACGTCATGCCGCCTTTAAGTATCTCTATATCATTTGCAAAGTTCGCACCTACAAAGTATTGGTTAAATTTATGCCTCATGAGCTAAGTGATTTGGAGTTTGTCCTGGATCTGCTGGGCCAGCAGGATCCCAAGGAGTTCGAGCAGTGGGAAACACGCTATATACTGCTCCTGTGGATGTCCATTCTGGTCCTAAATCCCTTTCACATGTCCAGACTGGATGCCTACGAAACATCAACCAATCCCACTCTGAATTGCAGCCCATCCATCAATCATGTTCAGACCAAGACCACCAAGATGGAACGCATCTACGAGCTGATCCAGTTGTATGTGTCCAACAATGACACCTGCAGCAGCATGGCTGCCTATTTGGCTGCCAAATACTTCATCCGTAGCGACATTAAGGATCTGTATCTGGAGCGATTCCTCGATTGGATCATGGAGCAGCACCAGGCGGATACGGTGAATGTCAAGTTCGGGCAGCTGGCTGCAGTGGCAGCTATTTTGAAGCACGGCAAACGGGAGGATCTGCTACCCTATGCGGATAAGCTACTCCAGTGGATCACCTCCTGTCAGTACAAGGATGGCAACGACTTTTTGAAGTACAAGAACTATGTGAAAATTATCCAGCGATTGGGCTTGGTGCATCTGAAGCCACGCATCGCCAGCTGGCGATACAAAAGGGGTGAGTTTCCTTGATAAATTTATTACAACTATAACTATTTTATACCATTTTTAAGGCACCCGATCACTGGCCACCAATCTAACGCAGGCTGCTGGAGCAGGAGGCGAATCAGCTGCCCTGGAGTCACCGCCAGAGGAGGGCGAGGAGATCCTAGTGCCCGATGCCATAGAAGAGGTAATTGAGGAGCTGCTGCAAGCCCTGCGAAGTGGTGGAAATGACATACGCTGGAGTGCGGCCAAAGGATTGGGCCGGGTCACCAATCGCCTGCCCAAGGAGCTGGCCGATGAGGTAATCGGGTCAGTGATTGATATACTCAATCCACTGGAGCCCCACGAGGCCTGGCATGGAGCTTGTTTGGCACTGGCGGAACTGGCCAAAAGGGGATTGCTGCTGCCACATCGATTGGAGGAGCTGGTCCCGCTCCTCATGCAAGCTCTGTTTTACGATGAAATGAAGGGCTACATGTCCGTGGGCCAGCACATCCGTGATTCCGCCTGCTACATGTGCTGGGCATTTGCCAGGGCCTACAATCCGGATGATGTGAAACCTTTTGTGCAAAAAATCTCATCGGGATTGTTGATTGTGGCCGTTTTCGATCGCGAAGTGAACTGCAGACGAGCTGCCTCTGCCGCTTTCCAGGAAAGTGTTGGTCGCTTGGGCAACTTTCCCTTTGGAATCGAAATATCCACCACCACGGACTTTTATTCTGTGGGCATTCGCCAGAATTCCTATCTGAATATTAGTGATTATATTGCACAGTATGAGGTGTACAGGGAACCTTTGATCAATCACCTGGTGCAGCACAAAGTAAACCATTGGGATCTGGCCATAAGAGAGCTGACAGCCAAGGCTCTGCACAAGCTTTCGCTGAGAGAACCAGAGTACATGGCCGCTGTCGTTTTGCCACAATTGCTGGCCAAAACCGATACCATAGATATTAACTGCCGACATGGTTGTGTATTGGCCATGGGAGAGATTATTCTGGCCCTGCGCAAACTGGAGGAAAAGAGCGATCCTCCTGTGACTTACCTAACCAATCAACGAATTGTGGAGCTAAACGAACTGGTAAAGACATTCATAGATAGACACTTCTATCGCGGAATGAGCGGTGAGCTGATGAAGTCCTGCACCACCAACTATATCAAAAACTGCAGTCTGGCCAAGCTAAAGGCCACAAACGAGTGTTTGGGTAAGGATCATACAACCTTACTGATAAATATATAATTAAAATAATTGTTATTTTCCAGATTCTTGGCAAAAGGTAATAGACTCCTGTCTGGTGACCCAATCAAGCTCCATTCGTGCCTCTGCGGTAGAGGCTTTTGGCGAACTCTGTGCTACTTATTACTGCTTAGACTCCAGACACCAGGAAAACGAAGACATCATTAATAGCTATTTAAAGGGAGCCGAAAACGATTTGGAGGAGCATATACGCATGGGTTACCTAGCTGCTTTGGGTGTGCTACCATCCTTTATGATTCGCCCCCATTTGCCTGCTATTTTGGATAGTTTGGTTAAACATTCGCTGACTCCATTGCAAGCTGTTCTGGTCGGCGAAATGGGTGGCCGCGAGAATATCCAGACTTACAGGTGGAGTGAGGCTAGAACGGAGAGCGTCAGGGCCTTGCTTAAAGTCGTAAAAACAGTGGGATATAAAGAAGGAATCGGTGAGCCTTGAATCACAAGTAATTAGTGTATTTAAAGATATATTAATCATCTTTTTCCAGATTCCTTTGCCGAGCCTAAAAACTTCAACAAGGTTATTGAATGTCTGCTGAAAGCTTTGGATGAATACACCCTAGACAATCGTGGCGATATTGGTGCTTGGGTGAGAGAGGCAGCTATGTCATCGCTTTACGAAATCGTGACTCAGTGTCCTCCTGAATTGCTGGCCCCCGAACATGTCCACGAGATTGTTGTAGGCTTTATGCAGCAGGCTGTGGAGAAAATAGATCGCACTCGGGGATTAGGCGGCCGCCTTTGTTGCCAACTGATTCATCATGAGCCCAGAATTCCGCATATTCGTGAGCATACCAAACTCATTGAGATCTTTCCCGCGGATGCTGATTCCGTGCTTTGGCTATTTGCCGATCACACATTCCCATTGTTCTGTGAGCTGCTTGCTCTGCCGGATTACTCTAAAAGAGTGCTTCTGGGTCTGAGTGCCAGCATTGGTCAACTAACTGAATCTCTGGTAAGTTTGGGATCTTTTTCATAAGTCTGATCTAATAAAAGCATTTTCACCTACAGATTAAATATGCCTCAAGTGCCTTATTCCAATTCTTGCGTTCCAATCCCGAAACTGTGCCACGCCTTTGTGCCGAGGTTGTTCAGATCTTCGAGGAGCACCTGCTCAATGAGCGCGTTACCTATCCCATGCTCAGTTTCCTGGACATACTCATCGGATCAGGCACTGTGGAATCGGTGCTTCATGACGAAGCAAATCCGTTTGCAGAGGATATCTTTAGGCTGTTGAACCTGGAGGTTAAGGGCTACAAGAAGCTGTATAAGACAGCTACCAGCATTAGTGCCTTTTGCCAGTTACTCCAGGTTCCCCGCCTGTCCAAAAGGATTCTCTCCAAGCTTTCAGTATTCCTTGGACTGCAACATGTCCATGTGCGCAAAACCGCTGCCACAAAACTATACGAAGCGCTGGCTCTTCACGGCGATGTTACCGAAATTCCCGAGGATAATATGGATGAAATCCTGACACTGCTCTCGGAAACGGATTGGACCATGCCGCTGGTCGAGGTGCGCCCCCTGAGGAACCAATTGTGCCACCTTTTCGGTATTAAGGCTCCTGTGAGTGGAGCAGCTGCAGCAGCCGCTTTGCAACAGGCAAATGCGGATAAATGAATTCTCGGCAATACAAGTTAAGCTTATGCATTTTCCCTTATTTATTTAATGATTTTGTTGCACAAATAAACTGACTATGCTTGAAAGCTTTTAAGACATTTTATTTTACGGAATTCTTTTATCTGCGTAATTCAACTTAAATATTCCAATCAGAGCTTCAAAGAATTTATCAAATTATTTTAGCGTTACAAGTTTATTTACTCTATTTGTTCTTAATATTTATAGATTACGTTAGCATAATAACTTCTATATATTTGCTAACCGACTAAAATTTAACTTAAACCGACTTCCGTTTCCGCTTAATTTTCCCAATGTTCCAATAAGAACTGTAGGGTACTTTACGTGTTGGGACATTGTCCAAACCAGTTTGGCATTTTCGCATTAACCGACGACGGTCACACTGAGAAAAAAACAATACAAAACAGGCAAGGGAATGAAAAATAAAAGGAGGCGGACGACCGATAAAACCGAAAAGCAAGGAGGGATTAAGGAGTCAAGATCAATAAAACCCCGCCGGACATCACACGGAGAAATTTGTCATAGAAATTGGTTTTTTTGTAAACAAAACACAAACTCGCACACACCATCACACACACGTTTCTTTCGCCGCCCGCACTTCGCGTTGTTACACAATTGTAATTGTGGAGTGTCCAAAAGTGTTCCGGAATCTGAATCAGAGACAGAGTGTAAATCGCGATGAGTATTTGGGGTGTCCGATGTCTGGCGCAGAAGTTCATCCGGCAGGCCTATATCCTGGCCAACCGGAGGATATTAGCTTCCGTGCCGCAGCGATCGCCACCGGCATACGGTAAGTGAGGTTATGGTCGGAGTCGGATCTGTATTTGCAGATCTCTCTCTCTCTGTGTTTTGCATGTTTTTCTTTTTACTCTTTTTACTTTACTAATCGTCGTGCCTTCTCTTCCTCCTCCATTTTTAGCCATTCTCCGGCCGGCACACAGCAGCCTCTATCAAATGGTAAAGAAACGCACCCTCGAAGCGCGCACCAAATTGCAAGCAAACAAATATCCGAATCATCAAGCCTGCGTTGTCAAGCCCTCGGCCACGCCCCCCAATCAGGAGGGCGAGGAGGCGTTTGTGGAGGCCACCGGCGTTTCCAGCTTTGCCAATTCCCAGTTTCAAGCCCCTTCTGCCCAGTCAGAGCCACTCTTAAAAGTGGTATCCATCGCTCATCTCATCCATCATCCATCATCTTTAGTTGGCTAAGATCGGAAATGCAAATTAGGGGAATTTAAACCTTAGCTATTCTCAACCGGTGGAATCTTGTTAAAATAACTCTTAAAAATCTTGTATAATGGTTTGCAAATGATAAAAAATTTGAGTAGATTGTTATATTTAACAATATAAGTAAAACTGAAACTAAAGTAGTAAAAAACCATGCTGCAATACGATAATTTTTCACCACTAAACTCTTAAAGGTTATTCTTTCTTGTTTACTAAACTAAACTTAAAATAGCACTACAAAACCAATACTTTTAACCAGAAAACTACACAAGATTTCTTATAATTACTAGTAATCTTATTTAAAAGCCTTAAAATGTTCAAAAATAACAGTATTAGTACCAATTTTTAATCTTATTTAAATTTATAGCAAGTATTTTATTAGCTTTAGTTTTAATAGTAGAATCCCAGTTTGCATCTCCGCCCAAAAACCCTTAAAAAACATTGTTTAACAAATATATTAATATGTTTTTTAGGGCTTTGCTGAAAGCAAGACAGTCTGCAGTGCCAAGGATGTACTGAAGTCGGACAGTGCGAAATTCAGCACCAGCCAGCCAGTCTTGGATTCCTGCAAGCCGCCGACGAATGCCTGTGAGGAGTTCGAACGCAAACGCAAGGAGACGAAATGCCAGCCATGCAACGAGGATGGAACTGCTCCCGGTGGCAGTGGTGGTGGCGATGAGGACTGTGAATGCCGGATGAGAGACTTTCGGCTCAAGTGCCTGCTGGGTGCCCTGGCTGCCCTGCTTTCTGGTGGATTGGTATGATTGCCTCCAATACTTAAGGACAAACCGCTAATTGCTTGCCATTTTTGTAGCTCACCTGGTTCCTGACACGGGGCACGGATGACAGTGAGGCCAGGAAAGCCCAGGAGGAGGAGGAAGAACGGAAACGTAGATTGATAGCTGGACTAGCTACGAGTAAGTGGAATCTAAAGCCCATAAACATCGTTAACAATATAATAACGAAATATAAAGAAAGTTCTAGACTGGCATTTGCTAACCAGATAAGCACTATCTATTGCCTAGCCCAAAATCAGCATAATTGGATAATTATTACGCATAAATTACAAACCAATCGTCATGATCATTAGGTTTCAAGAATTTAATAACTTTATATGTGATCATTTGGAAGTTTTTATTGAAGAACCAATTTATTTAACCAAATTTTCTGTTTTGTATTACTTTTTTAGGTCCGCCCACTTCTGAGGACCTTCCCAAGCATGTGCCGTACCTTATTGTTGGTGGTGGAACCGCCGCCTTCTCCGCTTTCCGAGCCATCAAGTCCAACGATGCGACAGCCAAGGTTTTAATGATCAGCAATGAGTTCCGCAAGCCCTACATGCGCCCACCATTGTCCAAGGAACTGTGGTACACACCCAATCCCAACGAGGATCCCATTAAGGACTACCGATTTAAACAGTGGACGGGTTCGGAGAGGAGGTAGGTCCATCATGGTTATTATTACAAAATGTCTTCTTACTCCATCCATTCCTTCACAGTTTGTTCTTTGAACCGGATGAGTTCTTCGTTGATCCCGAGAATCTGGAAGACAGTGAGAACGGCGGAATAGCCGTTGCCCAAGGATTCGCTGTGAAGAAGATAGACGCGCAGAAGCGCATAGTGACATTAAACGATGGCTACGAGATCGGCTACGACGAATGCCTGATTGCCACTGGCTGTGCCCCCAAGAACCTGACCATGCTCCGCGATGCGCCGCCCAGTGTGCTCGAGAAAGTAATGGTCTATCGCACACCCGATGACTTTGATCGCCTGCGAAGACTGGCAGCGGAGAAGCGTTCCATTACCATTGTGGGCAATGGCTTTATCGGAAGCGAGCTGGCCTGCTCGCTGGCTCACTATTCGCGGGAGAACAATGGCGGCAAGGTGTACCAAGTGTTCCAGGAGAATGCCAACATGTCCAAGGTCCTGCCGAACTATCTGAGCCGCTGGACAACGGCCAAGATGGAAGCCCAGGGCGTCTGCGTCATTCCCAATGCCAGCATTCGATCAGCGGTGCGGGATGAAGCCAATCTAAAGTTGGAGCTAAACAATGGCATGACCTTGATGTCCGACGTGGTGGTTGTCTGCGTTGGCTGCACACCAAACACAGAGCTTGCCGGTCCCAGCCGACTGGAAGTGGACAGGAGTCTCGGTGGTTTCGTGGTCAATGCAGAATTGGAGGCCAGAAGGAATCTGTACGTGGCCGGCGATGCTTCCTGCTTCTTTGATCCTCTGCTGGGCAGGCGACGGGTGGAGCACCATGATCACTCGGTGGTCTCTGGTCGGCTGGCCGGCGAGAACATGACGGGAGCAAGTAAGTTACTAGTCTCTGTTTATATATTTTATATTTATATCTGTAAGTAGATATTGCATTTGTTGAAAAGTATGTTACGGGTAGAAGAGAGAGTTTCCAACCCTATAAAGTATATATATATTTTTTATGAAGATCAATAGACGTAACTGTTTGTCCGTTCTCGAAAACTATAAAAGCCAGAGATTTAAGTTTTAACTAGCGAAATTCTAAGAAATGGTAGATGTAAGTTATTGTGCTATGTATTTTATTTTAGAATTTTTCATGAATTTTTTGATAAACACACAAATCGAACCAAATCGAAATTTTAGAAGTTATTATTATTATTAGTTGTTGGACATTTGAAAATTTAAGGTTTACAGATTAAATTGATTAACTGAGTAACGCATATACAATAGTAGGCGCACTCGATTAAACTTTTTTTCCTTAATTATTAAGTGATAAATTAATTATATTATTTTTAAATATTAATATTGATATATTTTCCTTCACTCACAGAAAAACCCTATCAGCACCAGAGCATGTTTTGGTCCGATCTGGGTCCTGAGATCGGTTACGAGGGCATTGGCTTGGTGGACTCCTCGCTGCCCACCGTTGGAGTATTCGCCCTGCCCTCCGATACAGCCAATCGCGTAGACCAGTTGTCCGAATCCAGTGGTGATGGCTCCATCAGCGCCAGCTCCAGCGATACGACGAAAAGCGATGCCGTCGTCAGCCAAGATGGCGTTACCTGTGATCCCGATGAGGCGAACAACTATGGCAAGGGTGTGATATTCTATCTTAAGAACGACAAGATCGTCGGCATCCTGCTGTGGAACCTCTTCAATCGGATAGGCTTAGCTAGGACAATAATCAATCAGAATAAGAAGTACGATGACCTCAATGAGGTGGCCAAACTGTTCGAGATTCACGCGTAGAGGACCGAGTGTCCCGAGGGACCAAGGAGAAGAAAGCTAAACATTATCCTGGAAAGCTAATCAGCCCGCAACGAAACAGAAACCGAATCAGAACCGAATGCCTTTAACTATGTGTTTACTGTGTACATATGCAACTAACTACTGCAACTAGATACGAACGGCAATGGCGCAATGCAACAGAAATTTTAGTTTTATTATTTTTGGAATAAACCTTTTTTTGTAGTCGACGACATTGTTACGGTTATGTGTGGCCGCAATAGGCGTATCTGCATCTAATTATGTAAAAGACGTGGGAGAGCGGATATCTGTTGAATTGTGTGTATTTTCCTAATAAAAGAACCACCTAATAAAATTTGTTGACAAAAAATTGACCGTAAGACCAAGAATTGTTTACTTTATGCATTTTCATTGTTAAAAACTGATGCTGCTTGATCATGTATTTGATTATTATTTAAATAAATTTAAACACTTTTGTCTTTATAATAAAATAAAGCTAAAGGACTTGGAAACTTACCATGTTTTATTTAATAAGGTTTTTAGGAGGCACATTTACTTATTATTCGTGTTAAAATATATTTAAAGATTCTGAGAATTCTTAAGGAATTCCCCAACGACTCAGTCTAATAAAGCAGCCATCTGTCTTGTAAAGGATTGCACCTGGCTTATTAGGGTAAAGCAGATTAGCGGCCAATATGAGGGAGAACAACTCAAGGATCTGAAATTCGCGAAATACTACAGGTAAAATCCGAAAAGAAGAGTTACCTATTAGGTCAACTGGGATTACCGGCCAATTGGTAGGTAGAACTTCAGAGTGGATAACCCTCAATCAGGTAAATCTCTGATCTATATAAAGCTGGTAATGAACTTAGCAGGACATCAGTTCCTTGTCGACTCTCCAATCATGAAGTACAAACGGATGTTGAACAAACGCAAGCAAGCGACTCCTTCGCCAGTGAGGGAATCCGAAGTGGAAGATGTGTCTGCGGCTCATAATCACAGTGCCTTGGAGCTGGAGGCTGCTGCAGCACTCCTCTTGCTGCGCTACCAATACGATCGCCAGGCCTGCAACAATATCATATCCTACACCGATTCCTGTTCGCCAACTCCTCCGCCTGCAGTGGCTGACAACACAACGCCAAAGGATCAGACGGTTAGGCCACCAGTCGCCAGTCAGCCGCTAAAGAAACGCTCTATACCATCGCACATCCTGCGAAGATCCTTGACACCGGCCAAATCCGAGAGTTCGGTGAGCAATAAATCAATAACCAAGGCCAAAACAAGGTTTTCCTTGCCAAACAATGAACGCACATGCAACAAGTCCCTGCTGAAATCCTGCAGAAACATGATTCGCGAGTTCCTGGACAATCAGGAGCTCATTTAAGAACAAGCAACAGCCTTCTGAAATATCCAGTTAATGATATACGATTTTTAAAATAAGCGCACTAAATAAGTTTAAGATTTAAGAAATCTTTCCAATGATTTGTATACCGATTTAATGCATGAATTTGTAAAAACAATATTTTAATTAAATTCAATTTTAAATCAATACCCAACCGATAACAACAAATTCGATCCTTAGGATCTCTCGGATTTCACTTTTCAATTTATTTATTGCATATAAATTTGTTTCGCTTTTTTTTTATACATATATAAATTATGTATTGATCAAAAGATAAAGTTTTCAATGGAAGAACAGGTATTGTGGCGACACTAGAGTGCTAATTATTAGCTATTGGCGGTGTATAAACTTAAGGCGTACGAAAAACAAATAGAAAATTATCTTTACCATATAGATCTACACAATAATTAATAATTACAGTTGCGCTACAGGCTAAATGTATGAACGTGCATTGATGATGATATCTCTCCCTCCATAACTCGATTCGTTTTGTTTAATATAATTAATAAAGTGCTTCAAAATGTACATTTTCTATTTTTTCATTGTTCTTAGCGGGTGAGTGGGTTTGTGGGTGGTGGTGGGTGGTGTGTGGTGTGTGGGTGGTAAGATCGTAAGCGTTTTACAAACTAAAGTTGTTAATGCTTAAATGAACACCTTCATTTGTTGCAACTGCTGCTGGGCTGCCATTTAATTGCAGCCGCTTAAGCTAACGTAAAAATAATATAATAATAAAAATGATAATAATAGAAAACTAAAGTGTATACATATATGCTTGTGTGTATCATCATTGCTATATAAAAATGGAAGCCAATGTTTTTTTTTTATAATGTTTATAATGTATGTGTGTGTGTTTTCTTTTTTTTTTTGTTGCAGTGTATCTAGGGCTAGGGGCTCAATTGAAATTGAATTTTGAAAGCTCTCTTTTCAGGCTGATCTTGAAGAAAGAGCAGGCCCATCCTTGAATAAAGGATCACTGAAACTGTTTCAGTTTCGCTTTTTGGAACTGCTCTTCTTTCGCAAACATTCAGCCAATGTGAATCAAAGATAATTCTGTTGTTGTTATCACAAAGAAATCAATTTGCCTTGTTGTATACAAAAAACTCTTTCTATTCCGATTTGTATTGTATATTAATTAACAATTTCGACAACAATTCAAATTTCATATTTCCTTCACTTTTTCGTTCGATTTTAACAATGTTTGTTGGTTTTTTGTTTTGTTTTTTGTTTTCATAAATTTGAAACCATTGTTGAGGCAACATTTGTAAAGCTCAAAGGTGGCAACACTTACGGTCTAAGCTACTGGCTACTTTTTACTCCTTAATCGCTACTCATTACTCGTACTCGTATGATTGATGTGTGTGAACGCTTATGGATAGGTATTTCGTTTTTGTTTTTTTTTTTTTTTTGTTTGTTTGATAAATGTAGAAATTGGCACATAATCGAAGGCTGCGCTGCGCCGGCTCAAGAAATCTACTTACAACAACGAAATTACATGCACACTGCTTTCCCTTAGCTTAGCTTAATAAATACGCTTGATGTAGAAAATATATATGTATGTATGATTGTGTGTGTTGTTAATGCAGATGTGATTTCTATATACAGAAAGTCGGGTCGGATCATATTTTACAAATGTGAAAGCGAAAAGTAAGAATGGGAAAAATTTGAATTTATAAATTGAATATTGAATATCAATTTTGTATATTTAAAGAAGAATAGTGCTAACGCTTTCATGTTAAAGTTCTAGGAAATAGCTTCAAATTCTTCACAAATTACTTTCAACTTCTTCATTTTGTTGGTTTTCTATTTTAAACGACCCCATCCTAACCGAAAGGCATAGGCATCCAGATCTATATCCAGCAGGGTTTCTGTCTATAAGTCTGTGCGTTTGTTGTGCTGCTGGTCCCATTTCACTTAGCTCAGGTAATGTTGTGTGTTAAGGAGGGGTGAGGATAAGGGATGGATGATTGTCACAGGAAGCTGCTCCTCCGCCTACTGCCGCATATGCCGGAAGGAGTCCTCCGACTCGCCACCATTGCATTCGCTGTCCATGGGCACGGACTGGGCCTGCTGCTCACTGGCCTGATCCATGGGCCTGGGTGAGCTGCTGCTGGCACTGGTCTGCTGTTGCTGTTGCTGCTGCTGGTCATCCGGCTTGGGGGATTGCTCTGCTGGCGATGGAGCACCCTGGTGATCGTATGAGCGTATGAGCTTGATGGTCGTCAGGCCGTCAGCATTGCGAATGAGTCTGCAGAGCAATAGTTTGGCTATATTACTCTGTATAAAATTAAATTAGAAGACAATCCACTTACGGATAGCAATCCTCGTTGCTGGGCGCATTGCTTTTGCTGCTCACACTCAGATCCGTGGGCTTTAGATCCTCGCCAGCACTTTCCGATCCCGAGCCGGAGCCATTCTCCAGCTTCAGTGGGTGGAACTGGAACTTATCCGGGCCGCCGCCGACAGCGGATGGGGTATTCAAGGCAGGGGAATTGGGTGGCGGACCAGCTGCCGCCGCCGAAAGGTAGTGGAAGGCTCCATTGATCGCATGCATGAAGAGCGGCGATGTGGGTGGTGGACCATAGGCCGCAGCGGCAGCTGCTGCCACCGCTGCAACGGCGGGCAGACTCATGGGGCCATTCCGCGAGGCGGGACGCTGGGGCGATTGCTGCTGCTGCTGCTGCTGCTGTGCTTGTTGCTGCTGCTGGGTGCTCCAATTCTGGCAGCCGGCAGCAGGACTTCCAGGCGCCTGATTGCTGCCACCCTGTGGCATGGACGATCCACCGGCGCCGCCGCCGCCGCCATTCGCTGGCGTGGTTTGCCGCAGCAGAGATATATTCTTGATGTTCTTCAGTTCCGTGGGATTGCGCAGAAACTGATAGCAATGTCGCTCGCCCTGCACCTTGCGCAGTATGTTAACCCTGTAGTAATAGCGCAGGGCACGCGACATCTTGTCGTAGTTCATGGACAGATGATTCTTCTGGATGCCCCACAGTTTGGCCAGACCGGCGGGATCGACAATCTTGAAGACTCCCGTATCGCGGCACTTCCAGGCTATCAGATCGCTGTACTTCTGGTTGCGATCGTTCAGCAGCTGTTGCAAAAAGTCCCACAACAGGCGACCATCTAAAAATGATAAATAGATACCTGAGTTAGTAACTGTTTTCAAATGTTTTCGTATTGCAAACTTACTTGTATTGGGCTCTGAGTTTTCGGGAAAGAACTCCCGCTTGGCTTTGTACATATAACTGGGTGTGGTTGGTGCCGAAATGGATCCTCCAGCTGGGGCCACCACTGGCCCAGCAGTATTGTCCAGTGTCAGCTTTTGGGGCAACTGTTGTTGCTGCTGCTGCTGCTGTTGCTGTTGCGCCAACTGTTGCTGCTGTGCCTGGGCTGCTGCTGCTGCAGCCACTGCAGCTGCCTGTTGCTGCTGCTGCTGTTGTTGCTGCTGTTGCGACCAGGAGTTCACAAAACTATTCGTCAGCTGTTGCGTCCAGTTCGGCTTGATATCCTTCAGTATGGGTGTGCCCGGCGGACTGGCCGTGCTGTAGGGCAGCGAACCGGCTGGCAACTTTCCCACTCCGCCGCCATTGGACTCAGCGTACTCCTCCTCGGAATCGGAGTGATTACTGCTGGCACTGCTTATGCCCTTCATGGGCATTATGTTGGGCTGGGAGCCATTGCTGCCCGTGCTGCTGGCACTCGACGATGCGGGATTGCTGCTGCTGCTGCTTGGGGCTCCTGCAGCCGATGCTCCTGCTCCACCATTGGCCACGCCTCCGTTTTGGTAAGGTGCCTGCGGTGGACTACTCGCCTGGGAGTCCACTGAGGGCGGGGGACTCAGCGTCACAGAGTTGGGTGCCATAAAATGATGACCAGCCAGCCCATGGGCCGAACTGTGAAAGGGACTGTTCTCCGGCGGAGCATTCAACGGGGGCCACGTGGGCGTCGGCGGATGACTGTGCGGCGACAGGGGATAACGACTGGTGGGCGTCACTGGACTATTGGGCAGATGCCACTGCATCATGTGTGACTCTATGATCAACATCTGCAGCACATTGTGTAGCACATCGCCGGCCCCCGGACACCGGTGGCCAAAGTCAGCCCGTGTCAGCAGGCACAGCGCCTTGCCGTTCATCTGGAAGAGATCAAAGTCGAGCTTGGGGAGATCGAATTCGCGGACGCAGAACCGCAGGAAGACGAGCACATCCTCGCGGCTCCAGAGGCGCGGATCGGAGGGCAGGGAGGGCGGCAGCTGGGTCTTCAGTTCCGCCAGCTGGCTGGACGGAGCCGGGGGGCAGCGCCAGAGCACATCGCTCCAGATGTTGGGATTCAGCGAGTTCAACGATAACTGTACTGGGAGCATTTTCATTTTGGACATGCAGCCACAGTGTGTAAGGAAGTGTCCTGGTCAGCGGATCCGATTCAGTGGGTCAGTGGGAGCCACTTTAATTGCCTTCAATTGGGGTTATCTAAAAGGTAATAAGAAGAAAAGGAAGTAAGTAAGGATATTCCATTGTGGTGTCACTTAAAGTTGCATAGGAATTCAATCAAAGTTTGTAGCCAAAATCAAAAGATCGCATCATTTTGTATAACTGGTGCAATAATATTTAAATGATATTGTCCATCAATGTTATTATTAAGATATAGCTGAATTGATTGTAATCAGATATTTTTGGATTACTGATGCGATGCTATTCGAAAAAGAATATCTATCAATTGTTTTATTAAGATCATGATTTATTGGTGTATAACAGAACTTATTGTTTCATTTGCTGTAAATTGTGAGATTTAATAAAATATATATTTATCTTTTTTAAGACTCACATTTGTTTGAGAATCATACATATAACAAAAAAATTTAATGCGTCATAAATAATTTCCATCTATAATTATTTTGCTTCCAAAAACTCTTCTGTTTACTTTTTTTGAAGTATTACTAGATTGCTTTTAAAGTGTTAAAAATGTTAATGCATTTCTTTTTATATTTGGGAAAATGTTCTTTAACTTTTGCATTGAACTCAAGTAATATTTTTTGAGAAAACATTTTCTAACGAATCTTTTTTGTTTGAGTTATCCATCTATCATCATTTTGCAGACAAAACTCTTTTGTTCACTTATTTTAAAAGATGTTTTTCAAAAGTTGCATACACACTTATTTAATTTTTAGTAACCCACATCGTACATTATTTGGAGAAAACATTTTTTAGCGAAACTTTTTTGTTTGTTTTATGCACTTGGTAAGGTAAATCAGATATGGAAAACTACCAAAGATTCTGGCATGGATGCCAAACACACACACACGTTTCCTCTGGCGGTTCGAAGTTCACTACTGAGAAATCACCATCATTGCAAAGGATGTGGCCAATGTATGTTGTTGATCACTCGACAACACACTTCCGCCAGCGAAATATCTGAGCGGACACATCACCTAGTCGAGGAGCAGTGGGATATAGTGATCCCGCTCCCAGACGCCACACATACCGATCCGATCCGATCCGTTCCGAAACCGATTCGATCCGATCCGATCCGTCGAATGGGAGCGAGCGGGAGAGCGACACTCAGACAGACATTCGCATTCCAACCAAATCAGATTTCTTCATAATCGTCGCGGGGCAGCCGATGGATGGAATAAACAAATAATATATCTCTACTCGGATGCCGACGCAAGAATAACAAAAACAACAGCAGCCGATCTATTTGTCTGTTTGTGAGTGTGATTTGTGTGATCGTGTTGTACAGCGATATACAGGCGATATACAGCGGACTAGGGCCAGCGCATCCGAACTCTACTTGGCAAAGTGTCGGCGGGATCTCGGTCTCGATCTCGGAGAGCGGTGAGCGTGACTCACTGGCAGAGGCATCGACAGCGGCAGCGGCAGCGGCAGAGGCGTCGCAGTCGCAGTCGAGGATCAAGCAGAGGCAGAGCACTCTGGACCGGACCTCTTTCTCTCTTTCTCCGTATCTCTCCTCTTCTCTCCGCTCAGCGGGCATCTTCGGAGGCAGTGGCAGTGGCAGCGGCAGCGGCAGCAACACACCCCCGCAGCGACCGCGGCGGAGGCAGACAAGAGGAAAAAGAGCAAGAAGAGAGGAAGAAGATCGTTCCAAAAAAAAAAAAACGAGGTTCAAACACAACGAACTAGTGAATGCGCTACACAAAGAAAAAATGGACAGCCAAACCCAGAAAACTAAATTCCTGAAGTTCAGGAATTTAAGGCATAATTGAGGAAAAATGGGTTTAAAGATGAGCCAATTAGAGTTAAAGTTATATAAATTTAATTAAATTATTACGTCGATCATGAAGACTTTATTTTTCTAAAATTATTACTTAGCGACCATTGCCATAAGCCCCATAAGGTTTTACCGCTTTCATATCCGGATGGTTGCCTACAATTCACACCTTAAGCAAAAGAAATTCATAAATATAAATTTTCACCAACCTTGGTATCAATTTCACTTCCGGAAGATATTTTTGAAAGTTTAATTAGAGGTCGCCGTAAAATAAAAATAAATCTTTAGGAAGTACAAATAAAAACAAAACAGGAAATTAAAATAACAATAAATTCTCATTGACTCACTATTTGCCCAATTAAAATACTTTCTTGGAAATAGAATTAAATTCAATTAATTGACCCACAAATTAGAGCATTTCTCAGTCGTCAATGTCTCTATCGCCTGAAGCTTTTTAATTGTAAATTTCTCAATATGGTAATTTCCACCAAAAATGTGTGATCTCTTGGGGTGTATGGGTGTGCATGGGCGGCAGTACACTGCCATTCCGGATGTGTACAAACCGAACGCAGACACACAAAAACCGAAAGACGTATACACACACATGGCGTTGCGGTGATCAGTTGCTGTAAAGATTTCAACATAAGCAAATGTATTGATGGCACCGACAGAAGGGGTTAAGAGGGGGGGCATCGGGGGAGCGGCCGAGTCGAACGTCTCTCGAAACTTGAAAGCCGTGCCCATTGCCCACTCTCGATCTTGCTGCAGCAGCAAACGGAAGTGCACATTCCAAACAGAAAACCCGTTTCCAAAAGCAGCAGCCAGAGAAGCGGGAGTGGGACGGGCATGGGTAAGGGGATGGGGATGGGAGCAACCCGGGTTGGAGAAAGACGCTGCCGATGGGGCAACTAATAAATCCGCCAGTGGGTAAAGAGAGCAGCAAGTCCCAGTCGGTGGATCGAGATGATGATTTAGAGTCGGGGAGCATGAGGAAAAGGAGTAACATCAGCCAATCGAGGGGCACCCTGTATACAGCTAAAGTAAGCTAGTAAGTGGCAGGAAATTCTCCAAAAGCTAAGCATAAATAGGATACCACACCGAAAACAACAAGATCCAGGGGACCACTTCTCAATTTAATTAAAAAAAATAAATCTTTGCACATTTTTTATTTTAAAGGAACAAACCAACAGTGATTGAAAATCCTTAAACAACAAATTGTTTTCAAAACCAAACAATCGAAAAAATATTGACTCAAAATATATAAAAAACTTTAAAAGTAACCCCTTTGATCTAATTTATTATTATCTTAATTAAAATATTTAGTTAATCTGCAAAAGTTTTCCATCCTAATAGAACTATTACCTTAACCTGGGCTGTATTTATTCCCACATATAGCCGGATCAGACATTTTCGCTGCACACATGTTCAGATTTATCTCACATCTTGCCCCGACTCGACTGTCTTGTGCTCTCCCGAAAGAAACTTCCTCATTCTCCGGGAAGCGCTTTCAACAAGTGAGCAGCAAGTCGAGAGCGCCAGAAAAGGGAGGGAGGGAAGAATATAAAATATTTGTGATGTCGGTGGGGTGTGGGGAAAGAAGGGGATGATGATGAGGATGATAATAATCGCCTTGAATATTTTATTGTGCATGTACATGGCTTAGAGGGGGTCTATCTGATCCACAACCGATCCGATCTATTTGTTTTTTGAAGAGAGCTAGAGGTAAACGCTGATGCCCCGCTGTTGATTGTGCACACTCCACATACAGACAAACTCACAGTAAAAACGATCCTACGTGTTATTTCGGTTGCCGCAACACATGGTTGAGTTTTCACTAAAATAAAATCATATATTCTAGTGCACACATGTTCCGCAGCACCAGCAGCAAAAGCAACAGCAACACAAAATAAATAAACATTCGGCTAAAAGTTGGAGTCGGTGGCACGTAGTAAAATGACAAATGAATGCTCATCAGCCAGATACGAAAACAACAATAAGGAAGGCAGGGCAGCAGCCCAGGAAGAAGCAGAGTTGGGGAAGTACACTGCGAAAAAAAATGCTCTCATACATTCCCAATGCTACAGTATCACAACATTTCATATAATTAAAGAAGGACGTCCTAATTTGAGGAAGAAAATTGTAATTGGCGCCCAATGTGGGATCTTGCTTTCAAACCTACAAAATCTGAATAGACCCTAGATTTTAGATGTCGAAAAAAGTACAAGTATATTTCTGTAAGTGGAAAAACGTTGAGCAGAGGCATCATCGTCTCACGCACGCAATAAGAGTATAAAGAATATTTCTAAATCTTGACACAGGAGGCGCGGCAGAGAAAAATCCAAAATGAGCAGCATTCAGTCACCTCTCTCTCTGAGATTCTGATTTTACCTCTCCTTCTGACACAACTCGAAATCGACTCAGGCACACAGGTAGTTCAAAATCGGAGGTGAGGTATGCGAACGATCTCGAACCGGTTTCAACGGAAATTACAAACGAAAATTATAAAACGATCAGTTTAGAAATGAAAGAAAAAAAAAAGAAATAAATGCCAGGGGGAGTGGAAGGAAAGCTGGAAAACCAAATACAAGCAAATGGGTTAAAAGAATTTCATGGGTTTTTTTTTACGAGTATTTGCAATGTTTCCGTTTTTGGCGATGAAAAAGAGTGAGAGGAGGAGGTTCTTTCGTGTGTGGGATCGTGGGATCGGAAATGCTAGAAAATGGGACATGGGAGATCTGAACGGCGGATAAGGAAGTCGAGGAGGTAAGACTTTCTATAGAAAAGAATGGAAAGGATTATGGGACAGCAATCAGATAAAACTAAATAAAACGTTTATACCAGCTGGGATTTTAGCACTGTTATCCCTATCTACTGTATGAAATCTTTGACAAAGCATTTAAGTTTGATTAATCATTCTCTGTTAACAAATTCTGTTTTTCTTTCCTTTTTAGTCTGTTTTTTTTTTTATTTCTTAGAAACTTTTTTATTAACAAGTGATGTGTGTCTTCCAGCTTGTATTTCACTTATAATCTTATACTATAGTATTTCCCTATCGCTTAGCCCCCTAAGATGACACTCGACTGGCATTTTTGATCGGCACTCCTAGACGCAGCTGGAATTCCAGCATGCAAGTGAATCACCCGAGTGCCAGGGCCGGAGTTAAACGTTAATGAGTAATTTCCGCAGGCGCATCCTCTCCTCATCGGAACCCCCGCCACGCCTCCCCGCCCCTTTGGCCAAG